GAGGGACTGCTCAGGGAAAGTGGGATGTCCTGGCGTACGTATGCATACGAGGGAGGAGGTTCTTCCCTCCGTAATCATTACGCCATTCCCTGCGGGGCTCGAGGAGGACTCCACAGTACAAATGATGGCGGCTCGCGAAGGTGGCGCCGTAGCGCCTTTCATCGGGTCACAGCGAACATTTGTTCCGGGGAGAGAGTCGGAGTCACATCGAAGGCTGTTGCTGCAGGAAATGATGGCTTGGGACGGGTGTGCACCGGGGACGCGGCTCGTGCCATCCCCCCATAAGAGACGAGGCAGTTTTACGCTTTCTTCCGTCTCGGAAATCGAGGTGCTTAACCCGTCCATCCCGCTCTGGACCGCATTCGCAAACCGAGGTTCTCGACCCTCTCGCGCCGAATCCCCGTCTAGGCGGTGGGCTCGCCCGGTTTGTGTATTGCCCCTGTCCCCTCTGTTCGCGTTCGCGTCTGTCGACCGTAACGTTCCTTCGTATCGCGACGGGCCGGATTGCTCCGATCGGTCCGGTGAAGTAACCGTCGTGTTGTTGTCGAAATCGGTGCCTCGCGTTAAAAGTGGAGCCTCGGTCCCCCATCCGCTCCCCCGAGTTTCGTTGGGTTCACCCCGATCCTCGAGCCTCCCGTACGGCTGCAGTCGACCCAGGTGTCGGCATCCGGTCTGCGGACCGGAGAGCGGGCCTCGCCGGTACCCCACCGTGCCGGATTCGGTAATCCGGAAGGGTCGTCAGACCGTCCTTCACCCTGTTTCTTTCGATGGTGCATCGTTTCCCCCCTATGACAGTTTGAAGAAGTTTGAAACGGTCTGGTTTTTTCTCATTGCCCTTTTGAGGTCCTATCTTTCTTTCTTTCCTTTTTTTCATTCCATTACTTTGGTAGTAGTGACGCCAGGTATGACAAATGGCACTCCTCACAGATTCTTCGTTTCCCAGGTTTCAGAATTTTCCTTATATGTTGGAACAATCCGGCAATTTAGGAATTAATATTCACATCATCGTCCCAAGGGGGACAACGATGAGAATACTAACATCTTATATCCTCCTCTTTGCACACTTAACCGATTACCTATAGAAGGTAACTTTTGATTAAAAATCGATGGCGGTATCACGACTCGCGACAGAACGTCACGAGGTCTTTGTACTCATGCCAGGTAAGAACCACAGGAAATATTTTGAAAATATCATGTCTTCTTCCTGTTTCGAGAGCATCCAAAATCATCAACGAGGGTAATGTTTTTGAGCAACAACGAGTAGGCAGTTATGCGGTCAAAGAGGAAAACGGCAGGAATTTGTCACGTAAGAAAGAAACGGAAAATTAAAAAATTCCTATTCCATGCTTCGAGGCACACGAGCTCCATCACAGCGACAGGAGTCATAAGAAAGATCACAAAATTGGGACACATTGAGGTAATTGGCACCGACGAAAGCTGGGTCCTCCCGCTCCCTTTCCGCACTCGGCGTCTCTCTGTTTCCTCTTCGATCAGGGCCCTTCCTCTTCCTCGATCTCCATCTCCCCGACTTCGAACTCGGTGAACAGCGCATTGGCCTCGGCCAACGTGTCCTGCAAAGCGAAGCGGCGATTGAAATTTCGGTCATCACCTTTTTTCCCGTCGAGAGCCAAACGACGAGGCCGACCTGAGCGCTCATGGTTCGCTGGAACGCGAGGGAGACGGAAGTGTCTTCGTTGCTCGTGTCCACCTCTGCAGTCCACTGTTCGTGATCGGCCATCTTCCGACGGAGCCAACCGACGGCCCATTGCCATCTCGTGCTCGACGGCAACTGACTCAACTGTTCCCGCGCGAGGGGTAGCTTCCCGCACAGGGACACCAGAAATTTCAGCGCCTGGTAACTCCTCCGACTGTCATTTGCATGGTAGCTCTGTATCACGGCTGTAAGCACGGGGAAACGATCAGCGGAATCGGCTCCATTTCCGTTCACCTCGAGAAACGGCAGAAAAAAAAAAAAATACCGACCCAGAAGTCCGTTGACTTCGACGCCAGAGTCGGGTTCGCTGAACCCATCGACGATCCACTGCAGGCGATCCGACTGCATTTCGTCTTCCACTCCCTGAAACGTAGAAGCGAAACTCCTAGAACGATGACGTTCTGGAGAAGTCGACGGAGCAGTAAAAAAACTTACCAGAAGCATGTGTAGGATTTCGGAAAGATGTTTCAGCTCGTTGCACGGACTGCTCGAATACTGATTCTGCAAAAGACACACGCCACGACGTGAAACGCTTCACCGCCCCAGACACTCAGAAACCGGCGACGAGATCGAGCAAACGAACGAGTATCTCCGCAAGGACGAGCCGCGACAGCCGGGGCTGGCACCTCCCGAGCGTCACGAGAAGTTTCCCGACGAGCATCGCGGTCGACGGCACCTCCCGTGCGATGCTCACCATCTCGTGCAGGAAAGCCACAGTGAGCGAATCGTTCCGCACCAGGACCTGCGAGACGATCTCCGGCATCCCCGTCCCCTCCTCCCCCTCGCCGCCCCCTGACGGACGGCACACCCGACTCGACCCCTCGCACTCACCCTGCCGAGACCTCCCGAGCGCCGAGACGTCGCACGACAGAACCAGCAGCGCCAGAGTGCAATGCAACGACGAGATCTCCCTCATCTGCGACGGACTCCAGTGCCGCACGGACGGGCCTCCTCCCATCCCCGTCGACCCGCTCTCCCCCTTCTCCATGCTCGAGATGTTCTCCGCATCGGACGACGGCTCCAGTGCCGGCCTCCACTCGGGCCCCAGGAGAAACAGCAGCAGATGGCGAAAGGCATCCTCCTCGTAGTACATCTCGCAGATCCTCGGCGCCTACGACGAATCGGCATCGAAGACCCCGTCGCGACGCACCGCGCGTGCCGAAAAAACCAGCAAGAATGCACACCCACCATCTCGACGTGACGATGGAGCAACTCGAAGTACTGACTGCACGTTTTGATGTTGTCTCCCACTTCTTTCTTCAGGAAGGACAAGAGTCTTCTCACCAATTCCTTCTCCTGGAGAGGATTCCGAAATGCTAAAGGCTGCGAAGGCAAACTTTGGGGAGAGAAATAAAAACAAAAAGTGGATCCTCACGTGTTTTCCAGCCAGCATCGGAGCAAACGAGGCTTCCAAGATGTTGGCTACGGCTTGTCTCACGTCTCTGTCGGGACATTCCAGCAACAAACTCCTGATGGAAGAAAATCCACTCGTATCGCCGCTGTATCTCCAAACGGATGCATCTTTAGTCCCGCAGAAAAAAAACTGAAACCAACTGGAGATGGTTGGAGGAAGAAAGCTGGAACTGCAGCGCCTCGGTCGCTTCGGGGCATCGAGAGAGAAGGCGATGAAGCAGCTCCACCCATTTCTTGATGACTAGACCCACCTTGGACTTGAGACGAAGGTACGTATTGCATAAGAAGGCCAGGGAAAGCGTGACGATGCATTCCCCGACCATTTCCAGGTCGCTGTCGGACGATCGATCCTGGCGAGCACCCGAAACCGAGCCCGAGTCAGCGAACAGACGCGACGACGCCACGCAAACGAGTCGAAGGGAAACTCACCACGGCCACGTAGCACAGGTCCAGCAGGAAATGAAAGTAGGACTCCTGGAACACCTCCCGGTTCCGAAAGAACCTGAGATTCTCCTCGGCCACCTGCTGCCGGATCCCGGCCGGCATGGGATCCATGAACAGTCCCTTCTTCTCGCCGTCCTGAAGGAGTTCCGACAGCTCGGCCAGGCTGTCCGACTCCCGCCGAGACGGTGCCTTCTTCCCGCCGCTGTGGATCGTTCGAAAAGTCACCCGACGGATCGGTTACGACATTCGCGAAAACCAAGAACGAGTCGACCGCTCGGGTCGCACCTACCCCGCCTTCCTCTACGCCATCACTGGGACAAAATGACGAGCCAAAAAAAAAGGCCTCATCCGAGTTCCGATTTTGCGTCGGCGTGGGTAAAAGTCATTCACGAACGGACAGGTGTCGACAACGAAAGGGACACGGGCACTAAATCAACCTTTGTGCGAGTTTATCACCCTGTCGCTAGGACTCCAGAAAAGGGAGGGGCGTGAGAGAATTCGATGGAAGGGGGAGAAAGACAGGAAACTTTTTTTTTCCTTCTTCTTCAGAAGCCTGCCCTCGAGAGGGAAACCCCCCCACCATATTGCTTGCATTGACGCACTCGTGTACTTCGTATTTAACGGAAGAAATAGGTGACGGATTCAGTCCGAAAATCTCACAAATAATGCATTAAACAAAATTACCCGCCGAAGGAATCCAAAAGGGAAAGAGTCACGACCGGTCGACCAACGAATTGCGCTCATTGCATTGTCTGAAACCACGAATTCCTCATTCCACACGACCAGTGAGGAATGCGGCTCCTTTTCGGGTAGTCTACGATAGATACCTTCGCCCATCGATGGGTAGACATGTGGAGCGGACATTTTTGGGACATTTTTTGCGTTTCAACTATTGTGAATTTTTTTCCTCTCCAGAACCTCGGAGAATGCGTCTGCATCGATGACAAGTGTTGGAACCGAACGGATCGGAACGTGTTTTTGGAACATGCCACGGTTTCAGACCGTCGGGGATCCCTCCAGATTCGTGTCTCTCGGCTCTAAACCTAAATCTCGACTTAAAATTACACACTTAAACGACCTAAAGCGTAAAACATCTTGCAAACGATCGAATGAAATCGCTCAGAAATATCCGCTTTGTTCGCATTTTCTTGGCTACGCCCCTTCCATGAGTTATACTTCCAAACCAAAACACAGAAGCCGTACGTCTCGACCACTCCCACTTTACAGAGGCTCCTCTGCTTCCCTCGGAAACTCTACTCGTGACATCCACGAAGCGGAACTACGAGCTTGCGACGTGCCGCATAACACGACACCTTCGAGTCACGCCTGCACGCTCACGCATAAACATACTTCCTCGAAACTGCTCGTCCTTCATCGCTTAACGGTGTCCTCGGCTCCGGCCCGACGGGAGACAGACCTCGCCTCTCGCGATGCATTCCGTTCGTCTCGCACGCGCCCCACCACCGGTCTCCCGCCGGTCCTTCCACGTCGGACGACTCTCGGCGGGGGCCGGGCTACGGATCTCCCGATCGGAATGCACGGCGACTCGACCCCAGCCCCCCGCCGCAAGAACCTCATCGAGGCCGTTCGCATCGAGTCGCGCGAGCGCGAGACGAAATACGAGCACGAAGACCGACGGACCTGGAAGAAACGTGGAAGGAGCGACTGCGTCCGAAAGAGATCCGTGGAGTTCGGGGCAAGTCGTCCGGGACCAGCCGCTCGTAGAACAGCAGGTAGGCGTTCCAGTATCTCAGGCGGGTGTCGGGAAACACGCTACCTGCATTCGAACGAGACATCGAGAACTCATCGAGAACTACGACTCGAACGAACGAAATCCGTGCCTCACGCACTGGCATCCGTCTTGGCCTTGTAGGTCCCCCCAAAGCACTCGGCCTCGAGGAACGCATCGTTCATCTCCACAAATTCCACCGACGTGTCGTTAAACTTCATCCACTTCCCATTTGTCGGGTTTCCGGGGACGTCTCTTCTACATGCGGACACGGAACAAAACATCAATCGAATGCAGCCGAGAACTCTTTCGAGTCGAACGTTCGCCGTCACGGCACCTGCGATCCTTGATGAACGAATAATAATGGCCCGCATTAGCTTGTCCGCTGTGGACGGTGACCCCGACCAACTCGTACGTGTGATTCGTGCGACCGTGTCTCGGAGAGAAATCCGAGTCTTCGGAACGCGAGGATCCGCTCGGCCTTTTCGTCCGACATCGTACTTCCTCCATCTCGTTCTCGTCGAGCATGTACGGAGCCATGTCCAACACCCAAGGGAACTGAAACGACGGACGGAATTGCAAAAAACGAACGAGCGCAAAGAAGGATGCGAAAACGGCAGGTCCACCTGAAAGTAGTCGTCGAACTTGATGGCACGCCCCGCATCGAAGTCGTAGCTGAAGCGTTTCAGCTGAATCACCAGGACCCGAGGCAACGTCTTGATGCAAGTCTTCTTCATGGCTCTTCTCTGTTCGGAGAAAAGTTTCGAAACGGGAATTTGATTTCTACGATTCGAGCCCGCAGAACATCGATTCCGATCGCGAGAGCTTCCACGAGGGATACCTTAGTCTCGCACTTCTCGCAGAAATAGGCATTAGACCCTTCCAAGACTTCGCCTTTCACGAACTGACTGAGGGAGTCGGTGAGACTTCGACTTCGCACCGGGAGATTGAGTGCCAGGAACGTCTCCTCGCGTTCGTAGCTGTGGGGGAAGAGACGAGGAATCGAGCTTCGAGGGAACAGTCTTTAACCTTTTGCGGTCATAATAAAATGAGAGATTTCTATTTAAATGGTCGTATTTAAAAAAACAAAGATTTTGACAAATTTGCAAAAGTGAGATAACCTGCATAATAACTTTACAAATACCGTACAGTCGACTCTCTTTATATCAGGAGAGAGTCGTATATCTCCAATTAGAGAACAGAATCCCGTTATGCCTGTGTATATTTGATTATTATCCCGTGGGTGTACTTTGGGGGCCCGACGGCTTAAGGATTTCATGGACACCAGTACCTCAACACGTTCGCTGCCACGTATCCGCTGGTGGGACACGAGGCATCGCGGTTAAAGTGTCGGAAATTGCACCGGCAGCTGTTATCTTAACCCTTACGCTGCGAAAAGCGACTTCGGTTGCTTCCTGCAACATCGCCATCGGCTGCGTGTCAAAATAAATTACGCAGCGAAAGGGTTAAATGCGCAAAAGCTTCTACCTTGTAAAGGACATGGACCTCCTGAATCCTTGTAAAATGAAACTTGCACGGAATCGATGAAACACGGGAGGTCGACAAAAAGCTGCCGTGCGCGAGCACTCGAGTGCTTCGTTCACTTGCATCTTCCATCTTCACATCCCCCATCACACGCACATTCACCTACATTCACATTCCCCATATCACGCACATTCTGCACGCGCCAAATCCTCGGTTATCATAGGCCGTGCAGCTGAAGACCGAGGTAGAGGGTTGAATAGGGATAAGGACTGACCCTTCTGCACTTCCGTCACGAGGGAGAAAAAACATTATTTCATTCTGGAATGAGGAAAATTCACTATATCCTGCGTAGTTTTTTTCCTGGGGATACAGAAATTTTTTCGTTACGTCGGAAATTTCTCTATATCCGATTTCATTATACAGTATCCGACTGTTTTTTTGCATGGGTGTCTATGGGCATTTGGCTGGGCAACCTCAAGGATTTTGGTATAACCGGTTTTTCGTTATATCAGTGTTCGTTATACTGAGAGTATAACATAAACTTTTAATTTGTAACTTTGTTAGTACATTCAGTACCATGTGTTCCATCAGTCTTTGCTTTTGCACTCCACCTTGGAGTGATACATTCAAAAACAAACGATAGAACAAACGTAATTCTGATACCCCCGACATACGACCTGCTCAACTAAATTTAAATGACGGGGCTGGCCCGACAGTCGACCGCAAAAGTTAAACATTTTTAATGAAGTCGGCACGAGCAACTAAACAACTACATCACTCAGAATGACTGGAAAAAAGCTGGGAGAAAAAGGAGTCACCTGTGATCACAGTCGTAGCAGAGTTTCATGTCCGAGAAGGTACCTTTGAAGACGTGCTGAAAGACTTGCATCCTCCCCATTCGCTTCAATTCTTCATCGGTCTGGTCTACGATCTGTGTTAGAAACTCAAATGCATCTGCAACAGGGAAATGAGAAAAAGAAATTGTCATGGCATGATGTGCAAGCTTTTGGGTGAGAAGTGCCTTCTAACTGTCCATTGCAGACCTTGCTGTTCTCTCGGGTTGATGGGCTCTCCCCAGAGTCGGAAAGACTTCCACAGAGACTCGGGGGAGAAAAATTTTAGTTGGGACTCTTGCAAGTGAGAAAACACCACTTGCAGCAGGTACAGGATGCTAGAAATGCCAAGGATCGTATCGTATGCCCTTCCGGTTTCGGTTTCGAAAAGGAATAAAAGGAAATCACAAAGAAAGACACCAACTTGTTGTGTCCGAGGTTTTCCGAGTCAACTGCCAGAAGGAGGTTAGGCAGGCCTGGAATGAGGTAAAGTTGTTGGAGTACTGAGTTCATGTAACATGTTGCACCCCCATTTTTCAGGCCCACCATGTTACAGGCTGATCTTCCTTCGACTGCCGGCTCGTGCTGCATAAAAAACGTAGCAACAATAGTGTTCCGAAACACGAGACCACCAGACCAAACAATCGATCTAAGTCAAAAGGGAACATCTCACTTCGTACTCCCTGGCGAGGTCGGGGTCTAACTTGTGATGCATGCTGAGGAGTCGTCGAATACATAGCTGCAATGCGTGTGTATCTCCTTCAACCAGATTCAACAGCAGCTTGAAGGCAGCCTCCCTGGCCTCAAATGTATAGCACAGAGGAGAAAATGTGGCTCTGCCTTGTGAAACTGGAAGGGAGGAGCCCTGAGGACTGATCTTGGACGATGCAGGAAATAAGTAACGAGTCAGAAGCTCGGGGACCAAACGCTTTGCTGCACGAGAAAAATGTTCCTTTAAGACGTGAATTTTTTAATCTCTTTGCATCAAGACACAGGGAAGCATGGAGACAAGCAAGAGACTGAAACCAATGTACTCACAAAAATGGTTCTTTGTGACACCTTCACATGTGAAGAGAGCAGAGATGAGCTTGATATGTCCAGCCAAGACCGTGTTGTCGGGAACGGTCACGGAATCTCCACCGACAAAATTCCGTAACCATGCCTCCTCGTCTTCCAGCATCTGGCATGCCGAGATCCCACATATTTCTTGTTCCGTTTCTGATTCGCAGAACCAAGCATTCATGAGCACTCATGCTAGTGGAACATTCAATTGACAACATGAAGGAATCAGGGGACAAACTGGAGAGCTTCTGGAGAAGGAAGCATGCAAGGGAGAAGTACTGAGAGCACTGAGACAATAAACGTTGACTAGTTCCTCGGCCGCTGCCAGATGGGACCCATAGTGGTACGTGAGCCTTCAGTAGAGTCTGATGAGTGAGAGGATAGTGATCTGTGAAACATTGTCAATACATTTCAAGAGAAGAGGAGAAAAATTCCCACTTGAATGAGGAAGAGTTTTGGAGCAGGAACTTGGGGAGGGGGATGAGGACACAGCGAGAGACGTTCCAACTCGGCACAAGTGGCGGAGCGTACGCGCTCGCTCGGGGATCCCAACACCATCTCGATCAAGTACTCACGGACATGTGAGAGACCAAAGAACGTCCCTGTGGAATGGAAAAACATTACAAGCACTGGTACTGGAGGGGGAAACGATGACAAAGTGGAAAAAATAGACAATACCGAGGAGGGAAGTTTTGGTCAGTAGAAGTGAGACGAGGATCTCCAGTGATTCAGCTGCAATGAGAGAATCTAGAAACGAGATGTTCCTGCTCCGATCTCTCGTCATGGATGCTGTTGGACTGGAGAACGAGTTGGAGGCAAGTTCACCCGAATCGCTACCAGAACTGGCAGTACTCCCTGAGTGAAAGTAGGTAAGATGAAAATCTTATTTTCACTTTTACTGTAGCTTGCAACAGAATATGGCATAAATTACTCACCCGTGCTGCTCTGTCGACTACGGGACGAAGCAAACGATCCGGCGTCACCCGAAGCCTTGCGCATCCCTCCTCCAGCTGCACCCCACGACACCCTTACCAAACTGCCCACTAATTCCCCTTCTTCTAGACCCCCTAATCTCTGGAGAAAAAAAATTTCCCTTTATACTATCATAGCATAGTCATGCTGCATACCTAAGATTTAGAGTATGAGCAGACTTGAAGGAGGATGTGAGCAGAAGCACCAAGTGCAGACTTCTTAGGTGGAGTGGGTTTCCCAAGTACAGGGCTGCAAGGAACTTCTCGATTGTCTATAGAAGGTGAAAAATCAAGGGAGCGAACAACACTGCTGCGCTTCCTCGGTCTCTCAGTCCAGGGTCCCAATGATCCACACAGGAGGTACCTGGGTAACAGACAATGTCCATTAGTTCACTTGCATTTCAATGTCTGACTGGTTGAAATTCAAGCAAAATGAAACCTGGCAAGTTGAAGACATATGAGTAGAGCATCTTGTGACAAGGACTCCTGCTGTAGAAAACTCAAGATGAGAGAAAAGCCACCTGCCGAAAGGAATTCTTCTCGGAAGAGAGATGCCCTCTGCAGTGATCCCATGTCCACAGAGACAGGTAACAATCGGCCAGAAAGAACCTAATAATAAAAATGATAAATTTAGTCAAGATCATAAAACATCTCAGTCTTTAGCTATAAGGCAGTCAATAACCTCAAGACGGTAGAGGAGCTCAAGATTTGATGGAGCTTCCATGCACTGCTTAAGGGTCTTTTCTTGTTCTTCTCTCTCCCTGGGAGTGAGTTTACCCCTTCTTGGAGAGCGGGGACTCAATTGAGGATCGGCTGTGGCAGCCCCAGGAGAGTGACCCAACAAGTCCAACTGCTCACTCACTTTTGGATCAGTTGGAAGCAAGTACAACAGCCTTCTCACGTTCTCTGTCACTCTGACAAAGAGGAATCAATCACTTAAGAAGGGGTATAAATGAATGACATCCTTAATTGCATTCTTCCTACTTTGGGTCATCGAGAGACTGAGCGAGTTGAAATAGAAGCTGGAAAGTATTAGTGGAAGCAGCCATGATAACACCAGGCAGGGTCTTCTCTTCCTCCCAGAGAAAAACATCCTTCCGAGTGGGTGTGGTTGTTGAAGTTGCCTCATCCCGATCCTTGTGCGGAGAAATCTCGGTCACGTGGACGCTGGATGTTGTCACCCGTACCGACAGAGGTTTCTCCACGTCTCCCATGTGTTTTAAGACCCGCTGACTGTCCTTCTCACCCACAAACTGGTCATTGATCCACAGCTGGAGCACAGATTCACCAAGGAAAGACTCGAGGCGACTGCGGAGGATCCACATGCTCTCGTTGCTGTGGCTCTGCAAATGGTGGAATGATTTTTGTTTTCATTATCATGCCAAGCTCAGATTCAGTGATAGATGGATTACACTCTATCCACAGACATGGTAATTGACACAAAATAGGACCTCATTATAGTGAGCTCTGTTCTCTTCTTAAATTTCCATCACCAACACAAAGTGGAGAAGTGATCAGGAAGTAAAGGGAGCACCTTGGAATTTTCCTTAAAATACCATGAAATGTAATAGAAAAAGACAAACTATATGAAAAATTTGTCATTGTAATAGAATAGTTTTTCACTGCTTTACTTAGGTACACCTGCAACAAATGGTGTGAAGTCTATGTGCATGATAATAATAATAAATCACACCCTATTTAGAACAGGAGAGCATGATCCAGACCACACCTATTACAGTGAGGTAGTGATGGGTGGTTTTCCATAAAACATAATTTACCAGATCCATGGTAACATGAAACCTTGTAGAGCAGCGATACTTTCACTGATGACCAAGTCAGGCAGGTATACATAACCAAATCAAACTTTAATTTAGTTTCATGTCTGGATTCAGCATGAGATGGTAGATGAGAAAGCTGCTTTAAGACTAGTAGAGATGCCTCTTGCTCTAGTCAATGTCACTGGGTTTTCAACTCAATCCTTTGCTGCTCATTTTGTAGGACACAAAGGCACAGTACATGTATGACAAAAGTCAACCTTTCCTTGCCTTCATCCATGAGCCAATTTGAATACTGAACCACCTTACATAAGGAACATAAACCCTTGTGAACACTCAATGATACACTGTGAGGCTGATGGAATGACTTGAGAATTTCCACTAAAAAACCATATTACCTTTAAAAAAAAAAACTTTGAATATTTTTCATTTTTCAATTAAATCGATGTGAATGCTCTTTACATTTTTGAAGGAATTTTAGAGTGCTTTCTGTGAAAGAAGAAAAAGTACTAAGAGGAGGGGTTCCAAAATATTTTTCACAATTGTGGGAATTCAATGAAGCCATAAGGTAGTGACAGCATACTTGAAAGGTGGACTCCTTTGAGGATGATGAGCAGGTGACATTAAGAGTAACTGGGTGTCCCAGAAACGAGGCACCATGTGACAGAAACCGCCTTGGACCAGCATGACTTTCTTCCACTGCAAGGATGTATCTTTCAGCCAGCTGAAGAACTCTCAGAATACGCTGGATGCTTCGGCTCCTGTCAATTCATGAGTGGACTCAAAATTCAAGGAATACAGAAACTATACACCAGCAATTTCAACTGGGATACATCATTTCCTATTGCTTTGTTGATAACCAAAATAAAAACTTTCAGGCTATATACATCCATCTAATTCTAGCTGCACTTGGACACATACCATAAGAATTCAATTAAACCAATTTAAAGATCACAATCTGGCTGAGCTACAATGAACTGTTGCTAATACAAGTGCTTTAATCAAAAATTAATAACCCAATAACCAAGTCATTTGAATTGGTTTGTAGCTGTCAAACCCGATGTTGTTCAAACATCATCCACATCTCTCACCGTGCTCCAACACCAGAGGGAGAATCCCCACCAACAGCAAGGGCAGTGAGGGTACGTGTGGCTGAATCTACTGCCACTCTCACGGTTCCCATGTTCCCGACGTTCCCCTTGAAGTTTGCCTGGAATTCCGCAATAACAGCAGTTTCACAAATGTACATCCTAGGCCTGCAGGACATTGGGAAAAGTTTTCAGAATAATCACCTCTAGCTTTGTGTAGCACTGTGCCATGAAGTTTCTATGAAGTGTGGCAGCATCCTTCTTAAGCCTAGGAGAAAGGCTTAAAAAGGAGAAGGAAAGCAAGAGATTCATGGCAGAGGCAGCTATTTCTTCACTGAGTGACTCCAAGGCAATCTGCCAGAGGAAGTCCTTCCCTTCCACCTCAGTGTTCTCCACAACCTAGGGCAAAGATATGCTATACTGTAGTATAAACAACTCAAAATAATTGGCATAAAAACCCTTTTCTGGGATATGGAAAAGTACCATGATGGACCCTGAAGAGCGAATCTTTTTGCTGCATGTGTTGATATGTTCCATGTACTTGTGCAGGCAATTGAAAGCAGCAGAAGTGATGGAGGTGGGATCAAGGTAGAGGAGCTTCTCAGTAAACAGTTTCTTGCACGTTTCAGCTTCCAGGTCGGGTCGACACCGACTGAGCCAATCGAGGAAGACCTGTAAAGGACCACAATTAATCAGGTTTCCCACATCTGACTGCTTTGCATCCATAGTTCTGTGATAGACACACACATCAAAAATAGGAAGCTTGAGGGTTGCCAGTGAGTCCCAAAGATCTTCAATGGAAGACCAAGGAATGTAGAGATCACCCTCTTTCACAAGGAACTCCAAAACGTTCAGATGAGTCTCCACAGTCTGAAAAAGAAAGCAAAAACAATACAGTAAGTATGTACTGATATAGGACCACCCAGGCACATTAAAATAGGTGTTATTTTGTGGCTTGACAAAAATTTGATGTAGTCCACACATCTCCTTTCAAAAAACCATAAGCCTACCTCATTTAACATGGGCCATGTCTATCAGAGTTCCATGTGATCCTATAAATTCTATTCATGGAATACTGACTTACATTGGGCAATTTATGTTGTTGGCCTTACTTATCCCTTGTATCTGCTTTTGTTGATGTACAGGGTGTCCATAAAGTAACTTGACATAATGATTATTTTTCTTATCACCAACTGAAATTTTATGTTGCATAGTATTAAAAGTAGAGATGCAACGATATTGAATTTTGGCTGATATCCGATATTGGAAAAGAACCGATACCGATACCAATACCAATATCTATATATACATTTATATTTGCACATTCAGGGTAGATTTTGAACAGTGAGCTATCTGATAACGCTGCTTTATTTCCAGGAAATATGTGTTTTCCCCAGAATAAAGCTGCATTATCAGATTGTTCTCTGTTCAAAAATTTGCCCTCACCCCTCCACTTTTAAGCTTTATTTGGGGCCAGGTCTGATGGGGAAAGCTTGAGGTGCAGCAGTGGTGCACCTCATGCTTTTGCCATTTCTCCAATAGTGAGAAGAAATGTTTTCTTCATGTTGAAGCCAGGCTTCTCAATGTGGATTTTTAAAATATTACATTGGATTTGCATCAGGCATTTTATTTCCTATGTTCCATCCTAGAACTTGCAATAAGGTGGAATAGCAATTCTTTTTTTTTTTT